CAGCCGTTAGTGAAAGTAACTAAAACATGCAGGAAATGTGCTGGGAGCAGACTGCAGTGCTGGCATGTCAGTTTCACTTTTGCTAAATCCAACAGGGACCGGGCCGCCACTCTGAAGTTGCGAGTGTGGTATTCTGGCCACAGAGGGCTGTGGGTGAATGAGTGGTGTTTCATTAACCCTGTAAAAGGTCATTATGCACATACTGGCTCAAGAAAGCACGTGAAGTTACTTGTTTTTCTGAATTACACAATACAGAACAAACATTAGTATTTTTTGAAAATGCTTCTCTAATTCTTTTCATCCGTTGGGCAGAACTTTAACATGAACTCATTGATGATTGGTAACTTGGGTGCAATTAACAAACTCTTTCAGCTCTGCTTCTATGTTTCAACTTAGGTTTGGTTAAAAAATCCATTGATACTGATTATTATATTGTGTGTTGATTTTTTTTATTTTGTATATCTGACCTTTTTATGCATTTGCCGTGATAACGTTTCAAAATAAAAGCAGAATCAAATGATTTTTTTTAAATGCAGCCTTTACAAAGATGTCTCAATTTTCATTTAATTTCTGTGATTCGTTTCCTTGTTCCCTGTTCTGGCTTTGTTAGACCGTCCTCTTTGGGTGAGAGCTGTGCCCATAGGACATGTCGCTGCTTTGTGAAGTGACCCCTTCTCCCCTTTTACCAAATTAAACTATCGTGCAGTCTGGTGCTGGAAAAAACTGAAACCAACCAACAAAAATAACTTACCCTTAATATGAGGGGATATGGGTGGCAAGAGAAGGAGGAAAAGGAGGAAAAGCTGAGCAGAAATCAGATCTCATTTTCTGGTGTTTCTTCATGTGTAAGAAAGTCCAGAAAAGCTGAGAGACATCCTGAGTGTCTCAGATAACTGTTTCCAACTCACTTTAAGAGACTAAAATCAATAAATCTAAAGACAAAAATGTAAAATATAGTTAAATTATTCTGTTACTGTTTGCAGTTTTGAGGAAGTACGAAAAGTTTGAAGAGGTCGGATGAGACAAGAGACTGTGGGAGCAGGCTTTGAAATACGGTGGAGCTAGCCCGGCTCCCCTGAAAGCACCTCAGCTGTTATGAGGGGAGCCTCAGAGGTTTATGGAGTCAGACATAACAAGCAAAAACTCAAACTGATGTTTTAATGCAGAGCACTAAGTTTTTGAAGTTCTCTCTCTTTTTTGTAAGGCTGTTGTGACTCATCAGGAACCTCTAATGCAGAAGTGTCTTTATCCAGCAGCATCTTCTGTAATGAAGTGTCTCAGTAGACTGCTGTTCTTCAGAAGTCATTATTCTGGTGTCGGTGACCTTTCCATTGGCTATAGGAATGAAGGCAGCGTTTAGTCCAGCTGACAGCTCTTCCTCCGTCCTCCCACTCCTTGGTGTTCGTGCTCAACCCTGGCTCTGCATCAGGATGTGTTGATGTTTATCATGATAATGGGACAGATTTCATTTCACTTTCATGCACGGCCCACAGCCCAGTGGATGCAAAACAACAGACAGAAATAGATGTGATTATTCTGGATTTCATGGGTTGACTGAAGGCTGAGGTCTAGTGATGCAGAAAAAAGCAGGAAAGTGCTGATCAGTGAAACCTTTTCTCTTTTATCACCTTTTTTTCCCCTTATTCTTCATTTTTTTTTATTTTATTTACAAACAATAATCAACCCTTTGCTTGAATTACAAGCTATGTTCAGATTTAATCTGTTTTGTTTCGGCCCGAGTGCTTTTTCAACAAACATCACTGCTGCACAAAGAAAACCAGTCAATCAAAAATACATCAGATTTCTTGAGAAATTCAAGCTAACTTGGTCCTGTGTGAAAAAGCAATCCCCCCTTCATTAAATCATGAATTAACTGTGATTAACCAAATTATTTATCCAATAATTTGTTTTTAATTAGCCACACCTAGATCTGTAGAATCAAGAAACCACTTCAATAGAAGCTGTCCAACATGGAGGTTAAAAAAACTCAAAAGGCAACATGTTTGCTGTTTTAAAGGAAAAATAAAATTAAGGACAAGATTCACGAATGAAAAGGAGATGGGGCAAAATGTCACATCTGGAAGGGTTTAAAGGCCAAAACCTCTACTAAGAAAAACACACATCTACCAAAAACGACGTGCATGGTCCCCAAGATTTTGGAGGAATCCTTATTTAAACTGGCGTTTGTCCTGTTATGGCAGCAGATGTTCAGATTTGGGGTATTTGTTGAGATAAAACATCAGTGTAGCACTTTTAACCCAAGCTAGATGAACGAACGGAGGCAACGGAAGAGTTGCACTGCTTTTAGCCAATCAGACTCCAAATCCTGACACCTCCACTCTCGCACATTTATTCAAATAACAAGTGTCATCGTTTGAAAACTGCCTTTTGTGTTTTCTTGGGTTATTTTTGAATAATCCTGAAATTTGTTTTCTAATAAGAGTGTAATAAAAATACGTCACATCTAGGAGGGGGCAAATACTTTTTACATCCCTGCAAAATCTACAGATATTTTTATGTTTATGTGACTTTTTAAAAACATTACTTAAGTATAACAGTGCTGCTGTTTTCATTCTGGAGATTTTAGAGCCACCGTCTTGCTAAAAAGCTTTTTTCAATGTTATTTTATATTTTTCCTTCTCTTGCTCCATCTTCACCGATCCCTCACATCCCAGTTTTCTCCTTCATTTGTCTTTTACATTTCTATTTCTTCTACCGCAGTCTTTTGTTTTTCACCCTGTTGTACTTTTTACTTTCTTCCTCATCCGTATTTGGTTTCTTCCCTTTAACATCTCACATCTCTATTATCCATCCCCGTTAATTTCTTCTTCTTTGATTCTAATTCCCCTCTTGCTTTCTGCTCTGATGAGTGGAGGGGGCTTTCTCATCTCCTCCTTGCCTCTCCTCCCTCTCTGCTGCTCTCAGTTTGTTGACACACCTTCAGAGGTGATAAAAAAGACAGAAAGAGACACTGTTATCATCTCCTCTCATCCTCTCCTGTCACCACCTCATCCTCCTTTTCTTCTGCGGTTCCTCTGAAGTGAAGTTTCCTCTCTTGTCAGGCTGTTGTCTCCCGCGCTGCTGAGAAACGACACAAGAGTCAAAACAACAGCGAGCACACCCCAAACTGAACAAATCCCTCTTCAGAACTAGAGAACATGAAAAACAACACTGGGGAAGAGAGAGAAACGTACGACAAGCATATATATGTGTGTATTTTTACTGGGCAAATGGGAGCACCTGCTGTGTGTGTACCTGTATGTTCTCAAAGTTTTGTTGTTTTATTTTGGAAGAGCAGTTTTGTTTTTCTCCCCACCACCTTGTCACGCCTTTATTCTTGTCTTCTGGTGTAGTGGGGCGAAGATGAAACATGGGAAAACATGACAGATGCAGAGAAATGTCATCTTGTCCCCTTTGGGTGAGAGCTGCTCCTCTTTTAGACCCTTATCTGAAATAGGGGATGTAGCTATAGCTAACAAGCTTTGTTACTACAAAGCTGAGACAACTATAGGAGCTGTTCACAGCACAGGAACAGAAAATTCTTTTGTCTGGGTTAGGGTTAGGGCTAGGGTAATCCTAGGGTAACCCTTACCCTTCTTGAACATTGTAAGAAACCGCAGCGTCCTTGTTTTACTCTCAGGTGAAGCAGGCTAGAGGCTAACGTACAACTAATAATGCAAATGGTGAATTAGAACAAATATCTCAAGCTACTTTTTAAATTGCCAACAACTTGATATTACAGTGAAATGTGTGTGTGAAGAGTTTAATGAGCCAATCGTGGCGTTTTATTTTCTTTACTGAGTCATTCTGAACTATCCCTGCTGAAAAAGAAACAACATAAATCAGCATCCAATGCTGATCCTGGACGGGATGCTGGTCCAGCATCTCCTCTCCAGCATCCCGTGCTGGACCAGTATACCAGCAACAAAGCACAACATCTGCTGGTCTGTGCTGGTTTTTTTCTGCAGGAATAACAGCAAGATGACAAACTCCTCTAATGTTGGAGGCATGCTACTGTGATAGTAAGTGCTCACTACAATTAAAGGGTTAGAGTTAGGCTTCTCATCAAGACTAGTGATGGATATCATTAGCACACTGGTGCATTTTATCTCCAGGTTTTCAGTTATGCTCATTTCACTACTCCAAATCTGGAAAAACCCATCAATTCAGCACAAAAAGTAAAAAATTCTTTGTGTATTGAAATTCTGGAGCTTGTCTCTGATCCACCTAGATTTGTTGAAGGATAGAGTTCAGTCAGATTTCTTCTAGTTCCTGGATACCATCTGGATATTGTATCTACATCATGGTTGCCTCCAGTGATGGCAACCCTTGTTTTCCCAGGAAGTGAAAAGCCGTCCCACACCATTGTACTGCCACCACCAAAATCCGTTTTCCACAACTTCCCCGAAATCCAACAGCCATGGGATGAATTGGGACTCATTGCAATATGTCTTGTTTTTACTGACTTTAGCCATCCAATCTGATAAACAACACCAACGAGTCAATAGCAGATTATAAGCTCGTCGGTACTGGCAAGCAGATTTGGTACGCTTCATATGGGTACAACCCACAGACTCAATTCTGCTGCTTAACCTTCAGACGTTTTTTTTTAAACAAATTGTTGAAGTTGTTGTGTCCGGAAAGACACTTCACCCTCCTTGCCAACTGGTGGCACCAATGTATAACCTCGCTTCTGTCAGTGTGCTCTGGGTAGCTGTGGCTACATCTTAGCTCATCACCACCAGCATGTGAACGTGTGTGTGCATGGGGGAATGTGTTGTAAAGCGCCCTGGGGGGGGGGGGGGGGGGGGGGATAAAACTCTAGAAGGCACTTTATACATACAGACTAGTTATCATTTACTAATTAGGTGATCCAGTTTGAAAACTGAAAACAGAAAATGGAAAGCACAGTTTATGAAAATGTTATTGATGCTATAACAGATACTAATAAGATTGTAGGTAGAATTTTCAATTTAATTTTTTCATTGTCTTTTCTCCAGGTGATGAGTGGTACCTGTGCAGGTTGACTCTGAGCACGCCCAGCCAGGCTGACTTGCAGTGGGCGATGTTTCCATCACCTTTCCTGGCCACCATCAGTCCTGATGCCTCTCCTAGTTCAGTAGTCTATCGACTATCGGCACGGCAACGAGACGGCACACTGGAACAGGCCCAGTTCCTTTTACTGGATGGTAAGTTGGTATTGTTTTTTTAACGGTTTGTAAAACGGTTGCTGTTTTTCTATATTTTAATCTGCATATGTTAAAAAACGTGCAGCATTATTAACATGCATGAAATGTTGGTGTCCACTAGAATGTAAATGAAGCTTATCTAGACCACAGCGCTCAAAGTCCTCAGAAAAGTACAATTAGGATTTTCTGAAGCACATTCAGTCATGACAACAAATACAATTCAAAACGCATGAAATAGTCTATTAACATGCAAATTGATGTCACTGTTTGCACAAGAATTTTTTTTTCTCACCAGTCAAACCCTCTTTCTCCAGTTGAGTGTTTTTCCTAAACCTGCCATTTCCTTGCTCCCGCTTTTATCTGCTGCCTGTATCTGTAATTAGGTCCACCACTGCTCCTGCCAGGCACTCTGTGACAAACCTGTTTAGCTCAAAGGAGCGATTTATAAATAAAAATTGACTTGTTGGATTTCAATTACCGTCAAGAGGGAGAGAGAGAAAATAACACACATAAACAACATGGAGCTGCACTGTTAATCACTCCCTGGGGCGAAGAAAGCTCCCAGAAATGGGAATAGTGACAAAGTCTCTGGAGAGGTTGAGAGTGGGAGAGTAGAAGGTGGGCGTATGGGTGCCGGTGGCTGTTTTTCTTTTTTCTTACCAAAATATCTTTAAAAAGGAGGAAGGAAATAGAAGAAAAATAAATGGTGACGGGCTGGTATTTTTGGAGCTAATTTTAATGTTCTTATATTAAAATTATCTGACTTCCCTTTGGCATTATGTGACTACATGTGTACTGATGAATAATCCAATAATTTGTCTTCAAAACATTTCTGGCTTCATGCCATTATGAAAATATGGCCACAGACTGTGTGCTCATATGTGTGGAGCTCATCAGTGGTAAAATATTTATAAATTCCCTCAGTTTAAACATCACTAAAGGGATCCTTTGCAACTTTTTCATAGTTTTAAATCATTTTCTTGAGCCAGTTTGTGCTAAAATTACCCTTTACAGGGTTAATGTAAGGCCACCCAGCCCCTGTCGCCCCCTGTGGCCAGAATATAAACTAATAAAACTCGAGCTGACATACCTGGCTCTGCAGTCCGCTTCCATCGCATTTCCTGCATGTTTTAGATCATGAACACAGCTGATTTGTTTAATTTAGAGATGAATCATTCATGTAGACACTAATGGAGGCTGAGGAGACATTTTAGCTGTTAGATTGAGGTGTTAAAAAGACGAACGCACAGCAATGGCATAGGTTTTGCTTTCGGTTCTACAAACGGACACTAGCTGGTGCTAAAAGCAAGCCAAAACTGCCTAGCCTCCCTTTAATGTACACTCTATCCCCATTTACTGATCCCTATTTACTTCCAGACCATGGATCCACGGAAATAAGAAAAATTGAATGCAAGTGTTCTGGGCTATTAAAACTTGTTTGTTATGTGCCGTGGATTAAAAAAAACAAATGTTGATGCCAAGAAAGTGTTTATTTTTGAACGGGAGTAAACGTTATTTTAGGTTTTGAGAGAAAAGACGTATAGGACTACAAATTTTCGTCTCACCAAATTGACGTCATCGAACCAGACACAGAAAAAAGGGAAAAATTAGTTTAGCAAACTTTGAATCTAAGATTAGTCTTACCTTATGCCACACAATCTTGCCCAATCTATTAGCACTCTGGATGTGTGTTCTGATTGGCTCTGAGATATTAGTGATGTGTCGGTCGCGAACGAACCGGCTCTAATAGCCGGCTCTTTGAAGTGAACAACGGTAGTCGGCTCGTCATTGGGAGCCGTCCCCTCACCTCCCCCCTCCCCTCTTGCTTTGGTGAAAGCTACATGTACATGCGATTGGTCAACATGTGTAACTGCGTGTCCAGACTGTCCACACACAGAGCAGTAGGGGCGGGGAAGAGGGAGGATCAGACTCAGACACACAGCAGACCACATGCGGGTGGAGGGAGACGAGAGGGAATGAGGAAGAGGAAAAATGCGAGCGAGAGAGGAGAGTGCGACAAAGACGGTGAGAAAAGGAGCGCCAGCAGTCGGAAAGTGGAGATTTCTTAAAGTGTTCAGTTATTAAATCCATAGAAATGATAAATATTTGATATATTGCATTTTTTACATTAGTAAATCATTTTACATATAGTTTAGCATTATTTTGGGTATAAATGTACTCTACGCAACAGAAAATCTGAGGAGCCACTTGGGAGCCAAAAGAACCGGCTCTTTTTGGTGAGCTGAGCCAAAAGAATCGGCTCTCTAAAAAGAGCCGGAATTCCCATCACTAAATATTATGTCAATTTTAAACCTAAAATGTATTCATTTTAGACTTTAATACCTCTATAGGGGGACTTTAAAAGTAATCTGTTTTAGTTACAGTTGAGTAAAATCCAGAAATTTTTGAGATTTTTATAACCGTTCAAAGCAAAACAATTATAGTTTAATCAAATCTTTTTTTATTAGCTGTAAAATGACAGGAGTAGGTAAAAATAATAATCATAATTAAGTAAACTCAAGGTTACTCATGGGTAATTTAAACATTAGGATAAAATGATGGACAGATTGGATGTGGCTGCAGAACCCTCTGGTCCACAGCTGGGGATTCTTAATTAGCTTTTATTCATCCTTACATCCTTACTTCCATTCTTCTCCCACCACTTTATTTTTTTAATCCAAATTCACATCCTTCCCTTCCCCTTCATCATCTATTCATTTCTTCTTCTCTCTTCCATCAACCTCACTCCTAGCTCTCTATTTTTATTTTACTCTTCCTATCCTCAGTTCCATCTCTCTATCCCTGCCTTCTCCTGCTTCCATCGTTTCGTCCCAGGGGTACATGGGTGAAAATGAGCTCGCTGCTTTTTTTAATTTTATGTCTGAGTCCTCAGAGAAAGTTAACCAGCTTACAGAACACACACAGAAATAAACACACAAGCAGCATCCCTCCAGCACCAATTTGCCTCAATTGGCTTTTCATAATTGGACAGCTGGGACTCCATCATGTTATTTGTGCAGAAACAGACAGGCAGAAACACTAACTGATGGATGTTTATGTAAAAAAAAAAGTTAAAAGTTATAAAACTGATACATTGTTCCGTGACAATTATGACTTATATTTGACTAATAAACATATTTATTTGTGCAAGAGCTTTGCTTCCTTGACTGACTTAAATGTCTTTTCTTACAAAGGTGGTGAGGACTGCTTTGAGGTGGACCGTCGCTCTGGCATGATTAAGATCACAGGACGACCTCTGACTCCAAGCAGAGAGTATCTGCTGCGAGTCCAGGCAGTAGACGGTCGAGGACGTAAAGGCCCTCCAGCCACCGTTTTCATCCTTGCCGGATACCGACCTCCACAATTCACCAACTCCACCTACAGCCTGAATGTGCCAGAGGACACACCTGTTGGCCAATCGTGAGTTCTCACATCAGTCTGATTTTGTGTCCGGGTCACATGTTTCTTTTGGTTGGATCACAGGAATTCTATTACAACACGTGTTGTCCAACTCGGGTATTTATAGGAAAGAAGGAAATATCCAGAAAAGGGCTTTGGACACATTTTTGTGGAAGATGCATAGAAAGCTGTGGCTATTGCCCTGCAAACAGTCAACGTCGCATGTACGTGCAGATCTTGTCTATATTGAGTCCGTCGGTCCAGACCACGTAGGATGTCCAAACTAGATCTTTGCAGTGTGTGTGTTCATTAATCAGGTCAAAACAGCCTTTTTAAAAACTAAATCTAGCATTATAAAACACTAAACCAAGACTTCTAGTAAATACCTTCAGTATTTGTGCAGATTTTCATGTTTCTATGGGAGTTGCATAATCTATTAGCCTGGCAAACCATCCTATATATGTATTTAGGATATAACTGTTTTGTGGCCTATTGGTATGAGACTGGGAGGTTGTGGGTTCAAATCATATGAAAGACACCAAAACTGGGACCCAGTGACTCCTCGCTTGACACTAAGGGGTTGGAATGGGGGCTTAAGCCACCAAATGGCTCTGTCTGCAGCCCACCACTCCCCCAAAGAATGTGTCAAATGCGGAGAACAAATTTCACACAACAGCGTGTGTGAAAACTAATGGGACTTTAACTTTATATAGTCTGGGCAGGTCCCATAACAAAACTCAGTGCTAGGGGTGGAATCTACGGTTGTCTTTCAAACTGTCTCGGCACGATATTGGACAGCCCTAGGACCAATCAGAGTTTGAACAATGTGACAGATTCATAGCAATGGAAATAAAAGAAATGAATACACACTTTTAAAAAAGGGTTTTTCATTACCCGGTTTGCTGGATTAACGCTGTTGGGTACAACTTTGGGTTAGTTTGACCCAATATTGGTTCAAAAAGCCTTGACCCAGGAGTTGGGTTGGCAACGTGTTGGGTTCTTTAATTGCCTCCAAAGCTTGACTAATTATGAAGGGTCATAGGTTGGGTAGGTTTGACTACCTCTTGGGTCAAAACATGGACGTAATTTTTGGGGGGAGGGGGACAGGGGGGACATGCCCCCCCACACTTTTTCCAAAGTCAAGTTTTGACCCCTGCACTTTTTACCATCCAAAAACAATATTACGCTATATTAAATTGACACTGGTTGAGCTCTAGGACCAAGCGGAAAGCAACCGTTTGTGTTGAAGCCTGTTTCCCCTTAGAACATAGTGTAAAGATACCCCCCCCCCCCATGTCCCCCCCACTTCTAAAGTGAAAATTACGTCCTTGGGTCAAAATATACCCAACTGGTGGGCTGAAAACAATTCTCAGAAAATGCTGTATGTTCCTCAAAAAAAGTCATTTCCAAAGGCGCTCATTGGGTTGATTGCATATTCCAACTGACTTAGAATAACCCAGTGTTGGGAGCAACCACTACCAGTGGCTGGGTTGAAGCTGTTTTTTTAACCCAATGTTTTTAGAGAGTACATTAAAAAAAATACTAATTACCTCTGTCTGCTCATGTCTCAAAGAAGAGCCCTAGTCGTCGAATGTTGAGGCCAAAGTCGTTTAAAATTGGCTCTTTTCCTGAGCCAAGGCCATATTGTTGTTTAACTCCGTCGTAGCTCTGGTGCTAATCCCACCCAACGTTTCTCTGCATAGATCACTGTGAGTGGCTCGGCTTAAATTTAGCTAAACTAAAGTTAGTCCTGCTGAGGCTACAACGGCGCATGGCTAGACTGACTTGCAGAGCTAAAACTTTTGCTATTGCTACCGTTGGTCTAGATTTTCAGGCTAATGTGTTTTAGGGTGTGTTTTACAGAATTTCACAATGTCGGAATTTGTCTCCAGTACACGGGTCTTTTTGTTCATTGTGGATGCATATTCAACGAGCATTGATGCTATCGCTATAAATCATGCAGCATTGTTGTCATACGAAGTGTTTCTTAAGCTAAGTCTCTGTTTTAACTTCCTGGTCTGCTGGAGCATCATGTAAACCCACTCTGAAAGCTGTGCATGAAAACGGTATTTGTGCATCTGTGCGTTTGTGGTTCTTTACATTGTCTGTCACGTGATGCATGGAAAGATGAGCCCCAACGAGCAAGACAAAAGAGAGGAAGGGGAAGGAGAGATAAAAGAACACCAGTAGGAGTGAGGGGAAAGAGGAGAAGAAGGGGTTAGAAGATAGAGGGAGGATGGGGTGGAGGAAGAGGACCCAGATGTATGAGTGTGGCTTGAGGCTGGGAATTTGAAAGTGTGGCAAATTCAAATATTTATTAAAAGTGAGGAGTGGATAAACATGAAGGGGAGTCTGTGAGTGTGCTGAGTCCCTCGAGGCTGCTGGCGCAAAGCACATTGTATTAATATCCAAGCCTCCGCGCCACCCTGAGCGCTGTATGTGGCTGGATCTTTATGTGCTTTGTAGCTCTACAACCATTGTCATTTCTTTGTGTGTTTTATATTCTTACGTGTGTTTAACCGTGTGTGTGTACTTTAATGATAATAATTAGATAGAAGGCCAGTGAGCTCAGAAGAATCTGTGAAGGCAGCAAACTTTAAGCCGAGTGCTGCAGCAGCATGTCACACAGCTCCTCTTCTCTTTCTAAGTCTGGAGACAGAAATACGAAGCTGCTTCACTCTGACCTGTGGTCATGTTTACACTTAAGGCAAGACAAGCCACATTTATTTACAGACTAGAGCAAATTTCACACATGAAGAAATCTTAAGTGCTTCATGCAGCCTGATTTAACTGGGAAGGACAGAAGTAACAAGAATAATTTAACTGAGTAAACAGAACATCACTAACATTCACACACCAGGAGATAAAACAGAATCCTAATTCTGTTTCTCCAACGCCGCCATGGCAGCATCCATTTTATTTAGGTTTGGATGAAACCAGACATCTGAAAGAAAAGTTGAATCACTGCAGAAAAAAATTGGCGTCTTTCTGACATTTTTATTGTCATCTTTTTTGTTGTGGTCAGAGTTGCTGTGGTTCAGGCCATCTCCTTCCAGAAGAAGAGTCTATCCTACATGCTGCTGGTTAATCCTGGAAATCTGTTCAGCATCAACCAGGAGAGCGGAGCTGTCAGCCTCACCAGAACCGTGGACTACGAGAGCGGACACAACCTCCATAATCTGCAGGTCCGAGCCTCGGAAGCTGACACGGGACTCAGCAGTGTGGCAGAGGTAACTCCACCCCTCCAGAAATAACCTGATTATTTAACCTGAATGTGGTAGCTTTAATTAAACTCTGTTTGTTTAAAAAAATGAAGAAAAAAAACATCCATTTTCTTATTATTTTTTTATACAGTTAAGTAAAAATGTTATTTTATGTGACACGTTTCAGCTAGTATCTCTAGCCATCATCAGAGATCGCTGATGTTGGTGGAGTCACTTCCTTTTATCCACGGGCAGCAGAGGGCAACACCATCTCCTGCTGCCCGAAAACTTATCTGAACACTTTTAGCTGCTTTTATCAGTTTTTTTCTGAAAGGAAGAGTGATTTTATTTTTTAGGATGAAAGGCTGCCTGTTTTTCTCTTTTCAAAACAAGAAAAGAGGCACAGCTTACAATCAGTGAGTTTGTGATATTTCCGTGTCTGCGCTGAGCTAACGCAGCAGCACCAGCATTTGTAATTTGACACAGGCAGGCCGTAAACTCCAGAGTTGTTTAAAGAACTGGAGCCAGTAAACCGGAGCAAACCAAAAGTTACTTTTGTACCCGTAAGAAGCCACACAATCCATTAGTTTTACTCTAATATTGGGAGAAGAAAGTTAGAGGCTAATGTTGAGCTAACAATGCTAACGGTGAATTAGATGCAAAAAGTCGGCTCTAAAAATATCTCAAGCTAGTGCTCTAATTACCAACAACTTGACATTACAGTGACGTGTATGTGTGACGTGAATAATGAGTAAGGCGTTGTCATGGTGTGGAGGAAAGTGTGGATTTAAAGTAGGTGAGTATGTCATGTTGGGATGCAGTTTCTTGACCCACGACATGCAGAATCACACACGGGAAACAGGTAGGTGTAAAAAAGATTTATTTTAAATGAGGAGCAACAGGAACTGAAGATGCTGCATACTGGTAGCAGGATTCCAGTGTGGGGGGTCCTGAGGAGGGAGACAGAGTGAGATTCCAGAGGGATTTATGTAGATATTGACTTAAATGAAAGCTTACCGTTTTCCGGGTACGGTAAGAGGCACGGAGGGAGCTTGGTCCGGTCCAGAGAGCAACAAATTGTTTGTCCAGAGGTGAGGTTGGTGCGGATGCTGGTGAGGGCAGGAGACCGGGCTGGTTATGGAGATGAGGGAACATGGAGTGGAAACCTGGAGGAGAACAGGGAGAGTTGTCTTGGATTTTCAGGCAGCAGGTTTTCTAACAAGATACACAAAACTCAAGGCAGGTTAGTGGCTAGACCTATCCAAACAGAGTAATCATCTGGCATGGTGTTGTGTCACACTGCTCCTTAAATCCCCTGGGCCTTCATGACAAGATCAGCTGCAGCTGGTTGCTCTCAGACACGCCCACCTGCAGACAAGACTCAGGCCCTGTCCACATGTAGCCGGGGATCTGCCAAAACGTAGATATTTTTCTACGTTTTGGCCTGTCATCCACACAAAAACAGAGTTTTTTCACACGAAAATGGATCTTTTTAAAAACTCCGGCCAAAGTGAAGATCTGCGTTTTCTCCGTTTTGGGTGTCTGCGTATGGACAGACAAAGCCGGAGTTTTAAGGTCCGCAACGTCACTTTCCGCGACAAAAAAATGCTGACATCACGTGTGCGACCTGTGTTTACACTAGCCGACAGCATGGATGCTCTCAGAGCTGTGCTCGCTTTATCAATTGTCCAAGCGCTTTTTGCTTGTTTGTTTTTGCAAGCGGAATTACTGCTCCTTGCGGAAGACCACAGACGAAGGACGAGGTTAAGAATGGGGGAAGTACTGCCGCCTACAGGTCTGGCATGTCCTTAACAACGTATTTATCCGGGTACGTGTGGACAGTTTTATTCTTTAAACGAGGTGGTGTGAATGCAAGTTTTTGGAGGGGCAGATATTTGTTTTTTTTTTTTAAACCCGGTTACGTGTGGACTAGGCCTCAGAGGAAAACAAAATTACTGGCAGGCAGCTCACCACGGACCATGACAGAGTAAGAGCACCGAGTCAGCCATAGGAGTTTGAAAGTCTTCAATTGAGACACAGCAGAACCAAGGAAGGGATGAAAAATAAACAGATAACACAGACGATCCGACAACACACACAGCACTGACAGGGATTAAACACAAGCGCGAACGGATGATTAGAGAACGAGAGGCAGGTGGGACCAATTAACACAAGACACAAACTGAAGCTGGGGACACAGAACATGACAGGCATTTTACTTCCTTTACTGAGTCATTCAAAACTATAACAGCAAGCTAACAGCAAGACAGCAAACAACCACTAATGTTGGAGATATATCACCACATCAGGTGTAGTAAGTGCTCCCTACCATAAAACACCCAAGAGGGCTAACAGCAGATATGATAATAGGCGTTTTTCCATTACCAGAACTCCAGGGTAGTTCCTGGGATGGGGAACTTGACCAGGAGATAGGATGTCCCAGTCCTCTCAGCTGTTGTGTCTCCATTCAAACTCAGCCCTTTCAGAACTTTGCACAGACGTCACCATGTCACGACTGTTTAGTGAGTGATGTCACTGATCAGCCCCAAAAAGTGCCCAAAGTAACATTAATAATATTAAAAGCATTTATTTTATAGAAGTAAATCATAATTTAATCCATTCAGAGGACAAGAGCAGCTCCGAGTTTTGTGAAATAAGTCCTGTTAATTACATCTGTGGGGGAATTTCCCCATTTCTTCCAACAGCTGTGGGGGAATTTCACCAAGTTTTCCGGTGTCAGGAGTTCGATTTTAAATGTGATCGCTGCTCATTTTCTTTTGCTTTAATTCTGCATCACGAGCTACTCTTCTAATTTTACTCCTGCCATTTGTTTTGGACGTCTGCTGATGTCATTTCCTACTGAGTTACAACCAATCAGAGTGAGTTAACCGGAGGTTTCGCTCAGCTACTCCATTGGGCCATTCAGAGTACCTTCTCCAGAGCAGGTACGCAGAAGGTTCCTGAAAACGGCCTGAAAAACAGCCGTTCGGACGGCCTGGTCAGGTGGAGACACACATGTCGGGAGGTTCCTGTAAATCTGAAGTTCTTGTAGTGGAAACACGCCGTGTCACTTATAAAGAGCCTAGTCATGCCCATCTACTTCCGGACCATGGGTCCCCAGAAATAAGAACAAAATTAATGCAAAGTCAATGGGCCAAAAAAGCTATTTTCACATCTCGTTTAATACGTGCCATGGATTTCACATATGATGAATTTTGAAGACACATTTTGATGCCAAGAAACCCAAATTTTTGAACAGCAGCAAAAGTTATTTCAGGTTTTGTGAGAAAAGATTCCCCAGTCTAGGCTGAAGTCCAGAGGTGATGGAGCTTTTTCTGTGGCCGCTCCCAAGCTCTGGAACAGCCTTCCCCTACAGATTAGGTCTGCTAACAGCCTTTCTACTTTTAAGTCTCTTTTAAAAACCTACCTTTTTACCCTTGCTTTTAACTGATTTCATCGTTAATTTATTTTATCTAGGGTCTACTGGATTATTCTTAGTGTTTTATCATTTTATTTTTTACTGCTTGTACAGCACTTTGTGCAGTCTCTGATTGTTGGAAATGTGCTGTATAAATAAACTTGACATTGACATTGACAACAGACTACAAGTGTGTCTCACCATACTGACATCATCAAGCCAGACACAGGAGAAAATGGCTGTGAGTTTAGCGAGCTTCGAATCCTTCTTCCAGGACAACCATAGGATCATTAAATCTGGGGAAAATCACTATAAATAACTATAACCAAGTAACCACAGGATGACATTCTTACTTCATTCTTACATATTGTACCTTTAATGTTCGCAATAATAAATACTGGGCATCACTGAATTATAGCTTTATTACACTAATTAGGCAAGAAAAGTTTTTTTATGTTTGAAAATATATTTTAAATATGCAAGCTGGTGCATTTATATGATTTGGACATTCAAGGCCAGAATTAGTTTGATGTGACTTTAAATCACTTTTTCTTTCAACATATCTTTTCAACTATCTTATACAGCAGTAATGACCACCCAGCTTGACTCTGAGGCAGCTCAGTGTAAATAAAGCCTTTTGTGTTCACCCTGCTAAACGATATGGTCATACGCAGCTTTGCTGAGAAACCTGATGTCAGCATGACCTCAGTACAACCCGGGTGCATTCACACCTGTAGTCGAGGCTGTCCACTTGTGATCTGATAAAGTCAGGCGTGAACAAGGTCGCAGAGTCACTGACCTGTGATCACAGTCACAACTGTTATCCTGCTCCCTGTGAACTTTGTCAAGACTTGTTATTTCAGCGGAGCAACAACAACACACATGCACACACATAAAAGAAAAAAAATGTGGACATTTTAACTTGAAAGCTATTCAGAGAACCCTCAAAATATTTTTGATGTGTGTTTTCGTGTGAAAGCTAAATCTTTGTCGATAGCTTCCTGAACAACCTCTCTGAAGAATTAGGCTGTTCGAGCTGACTACTCATTTCAGCACAGTCAAGACTAAAGTCAGATCTTATTGACAAGCTAAAACTGACTAATCTAACTGGGACCACATCCATAGTGGATTGCTGCCATCCTAAAACAATTTCAATACCATACATTTCACAATGAAACAAAACTACATTTAGTAACTTTTACATCACCATAAGATTTGTATTACAATATTTTGGCTGAACTATTAAAGCTGTTATAATAAATCTGGAAACAAGCTTAGTTTTGAATGCAAACATGGTCACGTAACACTCACCTCTCCAATACGGTATCTTCCCTGAGAAGCTTCTGCTAGAACCCGAAACCTGCGATGCTGGATGAAACAAAATAATGCTAAACACCAGTCACAGTTTTGTAGGTCTAAATGTCTTTTGTTGTCCATGACTTCAAATGGTGTTTTTCTTTTTGGGATTCTGGTAGTTTGTCCTAAAGTTGAGTGGTAGCAGCTGACTGTTTCTCCTTCTCTGACATTACTGAGCTGCCCACGGGCCATACAGTTAACCAAACAGCAAGAGCGGTCCATCTGCTTTGCTAAATCCACTTCCAAATGTGCA